GAAGAGCAGGCTGAATTGGATGACTTAGAAAAGTATTTTGACCATTCACATGAACTCTCGGATAGTTTTGCTTATAGTGTAGCTCTGGTATCCACAACCGAAAAAGGTTTCTTCGCTGCCACAAAGAGTTTCTTTGTTCCCTACAAACACCACTGACGAAGACCTTGATGAACTAGAAGCAGAAGAACTTTTGAATGGATGCGCTTTGATACTTAACACAAGCAGTTCCTCTCTAGCAAGTAGACCCTGTAACATCATGCCACATACGTCAACCATAGACCCTGTAACATCATGCCACATACGTCAACCATAGACCCTGTAACATCATGCCACATACGTCAACCATAGACCCTGTAACATCATGCCACATACGTCAACCATGCAACCTGAGGAAGACTGGACAGTTGATTTAGATGGCATGCTATCGAGACAATCATCCGTTTCAATAATTTTTCTTGCCTTAACCTTTCAGAAGATCACGAAGTATCTATTGAAGGCAGCACAACATGTGATCAGTCTCTCTAAAGTAACAGAAGAAACCAATTTAGTAGAAGAACGCAACGAACCATCAAAGTAAATAAAACCCCTGCCATTTAAGAAATATCAACCACCATGCCTTCTCTGCAAAGACCCACCTCCAGCAATTGGAGAGATGATGATAAATGGAAGCTACAAGAACTTGCTCACTTTCTTGTAAAATGTGGACATATTGTTCAAGAACAAACTGAAAAATACCGGGGTTATTTTCACACCAGATCAGAAAATAGCATCAGATTTGTTCATTCTCGAGGAAGAAAATCTGAACTACAGAAAATTCCTTCCATAATTTCCTGTTCTACACCTCATGAAATCCAAGATAACCAACTTGTTTAGTGCTTATAAGACATGACAATCTGCGTAAGATTCGTTGAGTGTCTTGAGCCACCTACAGCAAAATCTGGCATAGAACACATGACAGTAATGTCCTCAAATGATCTTGAAGGTAAATGGGGTGGAAAATATATTCAATTCATTGATGCAACTTGTGACAATAACGAACCTTCCGCTTCATGTAGAATTAATGAGACATTGTAATGAAATTGTTGGACTGTAGATAGCTGAAAGAATTGGTGGAACTCATGGATATAACGTGCTAGTTTCCATAGTCAAGGCACCCTTGCCATTTGCGTTTCTGAATGGTGCTGCGTCATATGGCAAATTTTCTATCCATCTTTCTATGGGAATATTGTAGTGCTTGATATTTTCATCAGCAACTCAAAGCCTCACTTTTTGCAACACCACATCATGAAATTGACACAAACTTCAGTCTGGATTTTCTGCGTGAAATGAATCATCGTGATGCACTCAAACTTTCAGAACATCAGCAGCTTAAGATTCTGTTGTTCCAAGAATGTCAGTGATAGAATCGGTTTCAAAAACTAACACCAAAAATGTACTGTCAAAGAGACAGGTTAATTATATAAGCATGAAGACTTTCTTGGAAAATATGTGACTGAGAGAGATTTTCAGCGTGTAATACCAACTATAAGAATGATTCTACGTCCAGTAACATTACAGACACATGAACATCAGGAACCACAGAACATATATGAATCAAAGTCCACACCTTTGCCTTAGTGTGTCTTGGACACAAAAACGTTGCAAATTGGAAATTATTTCATCAAAAGGTATTTGTGTCCACAGAGGTTGTACTGCGGCTTCTCTGCGGTTTACAAAGTGTTGAGCTTGTATTCTCTTACTAAGCATGCCAGACCTTGAATATTGATGAGCCCATAGTTCTAAAACAAGGTGTGAAAGCTGGAAAGAGGGTTACCATCGCATACTGATGTAACTACAAAACAAGAAAAAAGAAAGAGAAAGAAAATGCTACAAAGGCTTGAAAAATTCAACGAGCCTGCCACATCAGAAATGAATACCTGTCAAGCTGTTGTTACACCTGAGTTAACTAAGGGAAACGTTACAACGTCCAAAGGTGTACCGACTGCTTTGGTTCCACTTTTGACTGAGTTTAATACAGATGAAAATAATAAAATTTTACCTAAGGGTGATCATCAAAAGAAAGGCGCAAGCTTAATTCTACTTGACGATAAGAAAGTCCCTGTTCATTTTCACAAAGGACAGCCACAATCCTAGTAGAGTTTGAAGGGGTCAAATCTAAAGCATTTGGCAGGTCTGGGCTTCAATATCTGCAGCACGCAGAAAACGGAGTTTTGAGGTGATTGCTAAGAAAATCACAGAATTCGTCAGGGCTATTGAAATGAGATATAATGAAGACAAAATAGCGGTGATTCTGTCTTTCAGTCTCAGCTTGGGTGGTAACTATTTTATTCCCAAATTTTATGGGATCTCACATGAAAAGTGGTTGAAAGGTTGAAAATGAAACCTTCAGGGGAATTCTCTTCAAGATCCGCTCAGTGTAATCACTGACACCGGGGGGGGGATGGGTAAATGAGTCTGCTCAAGAACCTCTACTGCGCTAGTAAGCAAGACGATGAAAGACTTTCCTTGGAAGAAGAAAGACAATTAAGGATAAAACTGCCTGCAAAAAATGTAAGAGGCCCGAAGGTGCGAATTCCTCAAGCTACTGAATTTATTTTGCCGGAAGAGACGAGATGTTTTGAAGATATTTCCAATACTTCAGACGGTGTCTGGACAAGCAAGGAATGCATACAATCCTTTGAATACAGCCTCCCTGTTAATTCTTATTGGTTAATTGGATCTGTATATTTCGCAGTATGCTTGCAACATATCAGTTTTTGTCATGGCGATATGATTCTTGTCTCAATAGGTTTTGAACTGCTATGTAACGGTTTTCATATCAACATTCTATATTCACTTTGGCATTTTATCGAGGGACTTTAATTCAAATTTGCCTTATGTTTTGACCATATTAATCATAAATATACATAAATGTATAACCTATATAACCATGTGATTTCACCATAACTGAACAATATGTATTGAGTTGTCTGCCATGAAATTTTTTTTCTAGAACTCGATAGCCTCTGGCTATTGTCTTTGATATATATCATCTTTTTCAAACTGTTCATCCTTACTATTAATCTAATATAGAATGTAGTGTGCACGTGCGTGCACGTGTTTTCAGTTGAATGTGAAGCTTATGTGTCAGATATTAGGATACCATATTTTAAATACATGTATTTAAATGATAATTAGAATTAAGTTGAGGAGAAAGTGGGCAAGTCGATGTATGCTCACAGAAAGTATATATACTTTTAGTGATTGCATACGTTTGGTATAAAAGTAATCTTTCTACTACATTCATAAATAGTTGACTTGTTTTTGATAGGCTAAAGAACAATTATTACATATGTTTCGGTTAACAGGCATTGTAGGTAGTCGATTTAATTTGCTTATATGTTCAAAATTTATGTTGCTTTATTTTCATTTACCTTAAAGACACACTCAATAAATATGTTGATTTAAATCTGTATAAGATTTTGCAGATGCAAAATATGTCAAAATATTTAATTTTGTATGAGCAAAAAAAAAATAATTATCAAATGCCTCAAAAAGGGAAACTCTTGAAACTAAGGACACTCTCATGAAAAATACTTTCCTATCAGTTTTGATTGACAGAGTTGGTCGTTTAAGATCTTGCTAGCTGTAAAATTTTCTTTCTAAGAAAAGTATGTAAATGGTTTACACAGAAATTACTGATAAATGGTGTTAAACAGGAACTAAATATATCTGATGGGCAATGCATAAATGCTGCTCTTGTATTGTGTTTAATGTATGTCAATAGTTCTAACGGACACAATTTAATACAAGTTGACACCTATTAATCATTAGTGACAATTATTGTCTAGTGTGGGCTGTAGAATGAAGTCCAGCTGAACCGACCTTGATGGGGTCATTATCTAGCTATTTTTTAAAGCAAACATTTGGGGAAATCTTACGATTGTTATGATTCTTTCTCTATCAATTATACTGGCCGCTATTTATAGCTAACATGTGCTAATGGCATTAAACCAACAAAACGAAACCAAACAAATTCCATTTTCTCGATGGAAGGTTTGCAAATGTCTGCGACTGTTATTTATTTATTCTTGATTTTTTAATTTATTTATTAGTGTGATTAGTATGAGTAGGCTCTATGCATTTCATAAACCCGGTCAATGGAGCGACTTAGGACAGAACATATCATTTAACGTGCTTATTATATCTGACACTATTCCTAGCAGCTGTACGCATTATGAATTATGGGTAATTTGTATGTAGCAGTTGCTCATTCTTTGGATCAAGCTTGCCGTTTATAAAACCACTGATCAAATATCAGATAGCTTGTCACTTACAATGAACGTGGAAACACTTAATGTGTGTGTGTGTGTGTGTGTGTGTGTGTGTGTGTGTGTGTGATTTGGAATTTTGACGTAGCATTAAAAAAAATTCAGTTATATCGTTACGATGTCTGCATTGTGGCAGTTTATAGTGATATCTAGTACTGGAGCATTATGACGCGAACATGTAGCAAGGTTCCTCACCTCTCAATTTATCTTGAAACCAGACCGGACAGTCCTAACAATAACCTCTCAATGCTGAGCACCTAGCGAGGCAGCTCTTCGAACCATTTTTATAAGTCTTTGGTATGACCAGGCCAGAGTTCGAACACGCGACATCCCGCATCAGAGGCGGATGTTCTTATCACAAGAAGCAATCTCTCTCTCTCTCTCTCTCTCTCTCTCTCTCTCTCTCTCTCTCTCTCTCTCTCTCTCTCTCTCTCTCTCTCTCTCTTGTCAAGTGATTAATTGGCAATCATGAGCAGTTTTAAAAAAAATTCAGTCATATCACTACGATGTCAACAATGTGGCAGTTTATTGTGATGTCTAGAACTTAAGCATCATGCCGCAGACATGTAGTATTAAGCCCAAACCAGTCACATTATCTTGACACTAGGCCAACCAGTAATTCCAAACATTTACCTCTTATTGCTGAGTGCCAAGCGAGGCAACTGCTTGAACCATTTATAAATCTTTGGTATGACCAGGTCAGGGTTCGAACCCACTACCTCCGGCATCCGAGACAGACGCTCTAACCACTTAGGCCACTGGAGCAGATGTTAATCACCCAGCGAAAGTAATTATGGGTGTAATATTTATACTAGCTTTGCCTGAATATCCTTTAATTTGGAGATATTGAAACAAATTATTTAATTTTGCAATAAGCTCAACTCTCTTACACATACATACACGGCGGTGGAAATGCATAACATTCTAACGTGCGCACGTGAGCCTCACTGAGAGTACAATCACAACGTGGCTAGAACGTTTTGCAAAGGCATCATATAAGCGATTTGACCAGTCAAAATGCAGCTGTCGTGTAATGTTCATAGCAGACATCAAAGGAGAAATCGGTGATTTAGTCAATACATTAACACTGTCTGACAAGACTATTGAATGATCTAGGGTAAATCGATGATTGAAATGATGTTTTTTTTTTTTTTTGCTTTACTTGTTTCCTGCTTTCCTTTCCATGCTTAATGCTACCAATATATTTATACAGTCAAGTGAATGCCATATAAGCCCATGTGACATTAATGGTAGCAATCAACAATGAATGTAATATGGCAAAGTCCTTTCTTGGCAACCTTGCCTATGTCTTTGTAGAACTAATAATCCATATGCCTAAGAGGAATGGAGGTTAGGAAATTGATGCCTCAGGGTACGAAGCTTGGATTGCAGGGAATTAAATGGCATCCAACTGGAGGTACATCCGCTACCACATTTAAACTTACAGCAAAAAGCGGATGCGGTACTAAAGACCTCAAATATGTTAATTTTTAATGTTTACATCCTGTGATAAATGGCGAATCATATTTTAACCATCTTAATGTTTAGTTCTTTTATTATAGGATTAAATAATCATAGTTGGGTATTTATCGATGTGTAAATATTACCTAATTACTCACAAACTTTCTGAGTGATTAGGTAAAATTCACACACCGATAAATACCCAACCATGATCATTTAATCCTTATAATTCCAATTTACTTTCTTTCTAACATCAGATCAGCAGATTTAATCAACAAAACATTCACTTTTATGTACATCAAATGTTTCTTTCATTAGCCTCTTAGCTGCTATAGAATACATAGCCATATCTTTGCTAGCCAAGATTCATCGATTCTTTATACAGTGATACGGGTAGAATGTCATAGCGTATCATGCCAGTAATATATTATTATGATCATTATACTAATATATAAAAAATGGTTGTTGCGCTTAAACCAGGAATATTCCTCTTTTTCGAAAATTACGCTTGCGGATGGCACGTGTTATTATAACAACTTTGTTGTTACTTTCTACACATTTCGGTCTTTCAAAAGTAAATTTGTGTCCAGTTTTAGAGCGATCTCTTCCTGACCCGAATAAGATCCTGACCATTAATAACCACTACTGTAATATGGTGTCGAGGTGAAATGCAATAATTTCCGAAGATTGACCTCTAAAGCCTGCTATATGCTTTCTTCGGCAATAGAGGTAAGTGCTGGAGTGCAAGAAGGTTTATGCAGTTACATTGTTTTAACTTCTAGGCTTAATAGTCGATTTTAATCTGTGACTTGTCATTTTTTATCGGAAATCACAGGAGTGGGTGGGTGGGTGGGAGCTTCTTGTTGTTATCGATAGGGTATAAGGCATTGATATAGATAAAACATCAAATCAAATGATCTTGAAACAAGGAACCAAATGTAGTCCGCATAATTTATCGATGTGTAAAAATATTCCAGATCAGTATCACGTGACCGTTTACATTAAATCCAACCGTAGAATACGCATTCAATTCACACAAAAATTGGAATTATATCTAATTGTTTAATGTTCTATAATTATATGTAAAAGTGTCTTAATTTCTTAATATCGTTTAGTATGTTTGTCTGTATTTTTCTTCGTCGTATGTAGTGTCGCGCGCTAGACGCAAGTTTGGAAAGAAAATGGCGTTTGCTCTACTTAAAATTGGAATTTGGAGTATTATTGTTAATAAATACGCATTGCACAACTTTTCCATTTGATCTGGAATGAATAAGTTCTGGTATGTTTGTCGATTCAACGCAATCTTTTGATTATGGTCTGGATTTATCGACATGAAGTAACTTGCATCGGACTCCAGTAGCCTCTGTCAATTTAATCGTTTTGAATTGTATTGACATCGGCATTCAATAACACTAATGTCATTGAATGATTCAGATTATAATGTGGGAAAATTATGAAGACTTTCCATTGCAATTATCGAAAAGATGCTGTGGAATTTAATGTTTATTTTATTTTGAGTGCAGTAAGGTGGATGTAACTGTACTTAATATACTCTAAATTACAGTACAATTTCAAAATGTGTAATCAACCTTGAGAACTCATGACATGGCTCATCTAATTCAGATTTACATACCTACGAAAGTATATTTTTTTAGGAAATTCATGATGTAAAATTGAAAGTATATTTTGGCCATTTTTATTAACAGTTAAAGAAGACAGTTTATGTGTATAACTTGCGTTTTGTTGTGAGGACTCTGTATAGCGTCTATACTAAATAAAGCTGAAACATTGTATCAAAAAAGTAAACGCGGATTGTGCCAAAACAGTTTGTATGTGTCAATCCATGAAACTTTTGCTGGTATTTGGCCGCCCATGAAATATCTGCTTTAGTTCATTCAAAACAATTGTTTACTTTAGAAAATAGTTCCGTAGCGCGCGGGCTACAGAATGAAGGTGTACAATATCGGAGAATATTACACGATTCTGACAATGTAAGCTTAATGGAGAAAAAAAGATGAGCTTATATATATATATATATATATATATATATATATATATATATATATATATATATATATATATATATATATATATATATATATATATATATAGATGCTATAAACTGACGACGAACAGTACGAAACTAGTAACTAACTAGCCTAAGCGCTTAATGAGTCTTTTTCAAAGGAAAATACAAAACATATATACGATAAACAAATAAACACAAAAACGTTGTGTTTGTAAACCTCTACATGGCTGTCTTCACATGTGCTAAAACTATAAATACAACCAGCTTGTATAGACTAGATGCGGAAACTGAAAACGGTGTATAATTCCCTAAAAGTCTATAAGCCAAAGCGACATCTATTTTTACTTTTTGTACATATGTAACGCAGATTATATCCCGGATATTTGATTCTATACCGGTTATTCTTATAGTAAAAACTGAAGGATAATAAGAAGATTTAGAAAATGTTAAATTTTACTAGTGAATAGTTTCCATTTTCTAGTCTTTTTTTTAGACCGCTTGGTTTCAATGTTCTAAGGCGGCGTATCCAGTATGATTCCTTTTCCTTCCTGGTTTTGGAACTCCAGCTGTGGTTGTTAGCAATAGCGATAAGTATTATATCACTGAAAGTGTGGCCAGGGGAGGAGAAGTGTTCTGCAACCGGGCTTCTGTACAGCTTTTTTGTCATCCAATCAGATCTATGAAGGTTTATCCTTTTGTGTAGCTTTTCAGTTTCTCCACAGGCGATAAACTATGCAAAACCTGTCAACATATGATAGAGACCAAGACATTCACTAGCACAGTGACTAAAGAAAAACTAAACATACATGGTCCAAACAAAACGTGCAAAAACAGAGAATGTGATTTATCTCATCACATAAAAGATCTGTAGCCGTCAGTACGTCGGAGAAACTGAAAAGCTACACAACCACAACCACAGCTGGAGTTCCGAAACCAGGAAGGAAAAGGAATCATACTGGATACGCCGCCTTAGAACATTGTTTGGGTCTATGACGGCCCCTCTATTGCTCCATTAATACCTAAACTACTGACCCACGTCCATGACGCACATCAGTGCAAAAATGCATCGTTATGGTTCACCGCCTTCTAGCCCGCCACAAACGATGTACAAAACATTAAAATTCAAGGAATGCAGATTCAAAAGATGTTTGTAATGTGCGCTATACGGCTTTCAAGTTCTTTGAATGCTGCTGACCTCACAAAAGCACATGAATCTATAGGGCCAATAAAATATTTGTTATTTTTTAAATATGTTTCGTCTTGAACTGAATTATGCACCAACGTTTGTCTTGTTTACACCATTTGGTACATTTTATCATTAGAATGAAGACTTGCATACGGAAACATAAAATATATATTTTTCAGTATCGGGAACTTCGCCGTGACGTCATAGGGCCTGATCAAGTGGGGGTCCCTAGTCTGGTTGTCAGAAAAACCATAGGCTTACTCTGAATTGGATTGAATACAATATATATATATATATATATATATATATATATATATATATATATATATATATATATATATTATATATATATATATATATATATATATATATATATATATATATATTATATATAGTATTATGTATTATATGTATGTATGTATGTATGTATGTATGTATGTATGTATGTATGTATGTATGTATGTATGTATGTATGTATGTATGTATGTATACACACACATATACAATTAACAGTAAAATTTATTTCAGTAATCATGGATCAGGATAGGTTTTTATACTAAGACATGCAATTAAAGCACATGAAAGCCAATACACCAAACCACATTAAATAAAAGTTGGAACCAAGATGAGTTGATAAGTTGTATCGTTTTGAGTAAAAGACCATTAAACAATTCTGTCTTCAGCTGTTTATGCATATAATATTCAATCAAGAAAGGAAATATAAAGTTCAATGATAGATCTGACAAGAACGTGCATCTCCTTTTTCTGCATCATGAGTTTATGATGCCGATGACGACGAAAAACGGAGAATTGTCCATAGTTATTACATACTTAGGAAATGAGGTTAGCCCAGTTTCTGTTTGATGAAAATGTATGCAAGTAGCATATCATTGATACAGCATTCATACTGTACAAATATTTTATTTATACCAAATGCTAATACACATATTTACCCTTTGAATGGAAGGAATAAAGGATTGCAATGCAACAGTTTTTCCTGTTAAATTCCGCTCCTGTGGCCTAGTGGTTAGAGCGTCCGCCTCGAAAGAGGGAGGTCGTGGGTTCTATCCCCGGTCGAATCATACTAAAGACTTACAAAAATGGTACTAACAGCTGCCTCGCTTGGCGCTCAGCATTAAGAGGCGTGTTAGGACTGGTCGGCCTGGTGTCAGGATAATGTGACTGGGTGAGACATCATGCTACATGTCTGCAGCATGATGCCCCAGTGCTAGACATCACCATAAACTGCCACACTGCAGACATCGTAGCGACATGACTGAAAAATTGTTTAAAGCTACATTAAAAATCATAATCACATCACGTCACTTCCTGTTAAATTCATTTAAAAACGAGGTTAATTTATGCTAATGATTAATGAGTGGAAATGCATCATTGATTTAGACGCTTAGAATTAAGATCATGCAGTTCCAATGTTTATATATGCGTATTATTGCACATGGACGTATCATAATTTGTTATTCCAATAGTATAATAATGGTATAGTATCGATGTCCTAAGCTGATCCTCTTCCTTCGTCGCCATGGTCGTTCTGCCAACCAGAGCTCTGCTAAAGCTTAGTTGTGACGTCATATAGGGAATCTCCGTAGTTCCCTATTGTATTTGCCACCCCACCCCCTCTCTATCATGAAATTATTTCTTATGGCTGAACTTGTCGTCCATAATGTTGCAACAAATGAGCATACTCCTGCCTTTTTGCTGCTGTGTATTTCTAATAGATAATGTAATTTAGTATTTTAATACTAAACATGTTAAAAATAAAAATTATTGCTATCTTCATATAATGTGCATTGTTATACTCTCCTTAAGAGGGCCTCAATGGAGAATAGCTGTCTATAATTTTTTTAAATTATTATTATTATTATTATTATTATTATTATTATTATTATTATTATTATTATTATTATTATTCCAGTCTGCTTGTGTGAAAAGTGGAATGGAATTCTGCCGTTAATCATAACCTCCTGTCATACCCATGTCTTTTGTGCATTGACCTAGAACGATGTATAGCACTGACAGTTCTAACTTCAATAACTTTTACACGTTTTTGTTTCTCAGTGTTAATGTCAGGTTACACCTTAGTAGCACAAAAAGATTCACAAGTATTATCGTAAAGCGTTCAATATGTCGCATATTAAAACGTTTTACGTTAATTCCAGCAAATTCATTACAGCAAATTCTTATATATATATATATATATATATATATATATATATATATATATATATAAATATATATATATATATATATATATATATATATACACACATACATACATACATACATACATACATACATACATACATACATACATACATACATACATACATACATACATACATACATACATACATACATACATGAGTCCTTCCTTCATTTCTTATTGTTGGCTTTCCTTTAAAGTTTCAATGTGCACATCAGAAGATTTACACACAAACCAATTATCAGTGAAGTTTCTATTTATTTTTATTCACTATTATCTTTAAATGAAGAATTCAAACAGAGCACATATTTGCAAACAACTATTCATTTAGTTCCAAATTTTAACCTTTTTAAAAAGCAAGGTGATTTCGTCTGCTTTATCTGTCACCTGTTGAGGAACTGCATTAATTTTTCTTTACCTGGAAAGAACCGTGTATTTTTTTCCTCCAGCCCTGCGTAAAATTACATTCGATTGAGATTCGACCGTGATATTATTAGAGTACCTGTTTATACCACAAATTAGGTCACCCCTGGATCAAGGCATATTTACAGTAACGCACCCTTCTTATTTACAAAACACAGGAAAAAATAGGTCTATATGTTGCGCGTAGCCAGATGAGAGTATTTCGGTTAAAGTGTTAACTCAATCAAAAGAGATATGTAACTATGTCATTTGGTAACGTGACTGCTGACTCGCAATCTTCGCGCTTAGCAAAACCGCAAGTCAACATTGTTGACTAGAGATAGATAATTTACTACTGAAATAATTCACATTGGCGGGGCTTTAACTATAAGTTAATAAAGCTTCCCTTTCAAACACTAAATAAAGGAGATTGAAAATGTGCATTAACTGAAGCAATTTATGAGCAATCTCAGGTGGGACAGCATGTGTACTTTCAGCTCGCTTGTTTACAGGCACCATCACTTCTATATTGTGATTTATTTTGTTTACTTGCCAGCTATATGACAAACATTTTGAATACGAGTATGCTTATTATATTGGAAATGCAACTTAAGTGTCTAAACGACTCATTTTTGGTCTTAAAACATGTTTTTAAAACTCAAGAGAAATACTCGAAACCAAAAGCTTTTTCAGAGTATTTAAAAGAGTCTGCTCTTCTTACATTTGTAAACATGTTTTCAAACCATATAATAAGTTATGTTGATTTAACTTTTATTCTGAAGTCTCTTGGCTATACAATTTCCCTCTTAAACAATTTCCAATTGTGTTAAAATTTGTGGGATAAAAGGGTCTCAGTTGATTGAAGTTTCATGTGGTTTTAGGTACCTCTACAGTTATACGACCGCTCCGGTGGCCTAAGTGGTTAGAGCGTCCGCCTCTGATGCCTGAGTTCGCGGTTCGAACCCCGGCCGTGTCATGCCAAAGATTTACATAACTGGTACTAACAATTGCCTTGCTGGGCGTTCAGCATTAAGAGGTTAGTTTTAGGACTGGTCGGCCTGGTGTCAGGATAATGTGACTGGGTGGGACATGATGATACATGTCTGCGGCATGATGCCCCATTGTTAGACATCATTATTAACTGCCCCATTGCCGACATCGTAGTGATATGACTAAAATATTGTTAAAGCTATGTTACAAATCGAAATCATACACACACAGTGTTTTATTTACAAATGGCTTCATGTGAGTCATTTGATTTATCAAGGCAAGAAACAGTGAGTCAAAACCCGAACCGATGAGTCTTAAACCGATGATCAGTTTTCAGTAGTTTTTAAATAATATTATATTGTTTAAATATGTAACGAAAATATTAGTTATATAATGTGGCTAAAGTCAATGAGGCAATTCCCTTGCCATAAGCATATGGAATATTCTACATTTATTAAAAAGATTGCAATCCTAGCATATATGACAAGGCGTTTATTGTTGGCACTGTCACTGCTTTCATCTGCCATTGCTTTCACAAATGACGAATTTTGCAGCTCACGTGTAGGACTCTCCTCAATAACGTTTGATAGGCTCTCATGCTGTCTGAATTCTTCACAATGCCATGGCATCAATTTCTTCAGCCGCAAAGTTGTGTATTAAATTAAAAAGAGATTTGTATTTTTAAAAAATGGATATCTTCTACAACGTATACACTTGTGTAGCACTTCCACTGATATGTCTTGTTTGGAAGAATGTTTTGTATTCAAATTTGACTGGTGTTGTGGACCTTCATTCAGCAGTTTGTGTTGTGTACCGCAACACAACATGCCTTGCCAGTGTACTGTTCTGAAATTTATTGATTTTTTTTGGTGCACATTTTGTCATGGAGGTTGTTTTTAGCCTCTGCACATATATGGCAAGACATAAAGGCGTCTTCATTGACATATTCTTCACTTGACTTAGCGTCTTTTATAACACGTAGCCAGCTGTGTTTTCAACCATTGCTGCACAAAATACGTTTTATCTTTAGAGTAACCGTCACATCATCTTTGGATGATGAAGGCTCCACTGGTTCAATAACAATACTATTATCATTGGTTGGTCATAAAAGAGGTCCGAAATTAAATTTATTTTGCTTCGGGTCTATTTTAATTAGTATTTTCCCTGGACGCGATATTCAGTCGAACGCTGACAGTATCTAGGAATAACACGAGGGATACAGTTGAGCGAATACAAAAGTTGCTGTTTCGTTGCGTGACAACGGTGCGCATAAAAGTTTCTCTTGAGAATCACTTTTAAGTCACGTGTTTATTTTCCGCCTCTCTCTCTCTCTCTCTCTCTCTCTCTCTCTCTCTCTCTCTCTCTCTCTCTCTCTCTCTCTCTCTCTCTCTCTCTCTCTTGGGTATGGTGATTAGACGGTTCTAAAATCGTGTTGCTACAAATGATGAAAGTTTCAGGTCACATAAGGTCAGCTCTAAGCTTCACACTCAGTTGAAACCCTGTGTAATATGATAACATTAGAGTAAGAAACTGATGTGCGCGTGTTTTTATTGTTTGGGAGAATTAAAATCTAGCTATTAAAGTAGTTGGACCAAACCCTAATTTTGTGTCGATCAGCAAAACATACTATCGGGGTGCATCAATTTACGTACCGGTGACGAGTTTTATACCGAACCTTTGTTATTTTCAGCAAAACATTGGGGACAGCCAATATGCGTAACGGCGACGATTTTAGTGCGTCAAATTGGAAATGTCTGCGTATTTGACGCATGACGCATAGGTAGATAACACACACACTCACACGCACACGCACACGCACACGCACACACACACACTTGTATATTACCTTTATCATTATTTTAAAAAAGTACGAAACCCAGTGCAATCTTTCAGATGCATCATACTGACCAGTTATTGTTGCAACACCCTCCACAGCTGAAATGACCAGTATTATTGTTGCAACGCTTTCCATAATTGAGCTAACCAGTTAGTGTTGCAACAATTTCCACAGCTGAATGGTCCAGTTAGTCTTGTAACACTTTCCACAACTGAATGGACCAGTTTTTTATTTTTTTATTTTAAGACTTTCCACAGCTGAATGGACCAGTTAGTTTTTTTTTAACACTCTTCACAGCTGAATGGGCCAGTTAGGGTCGTAACAATTTCCAAAGCTGCAAAATAGCATAGTAGATGCTATATTTTACTGCTTTCTGGCTACCCAGTCAGATGCCATTTAGGTTTTGCAGCCTCTTCACGCGATTTGGAACTACTTAAGTGCATATTTAGAGTAATTGCTCCAATAGATCACAGCCAATTCGGAAAAACTGACCACCATTAAAAGGGAGTTCTGAAATATTATCTATTATGTCCTCACATGGCTTTAGGCAATGTATTTTTAAGAACCATGTTTAAATGGATACGATTTAGTAAGCCCACAGATGACATGTATGTGTATGCTATGCATTCATGCGTGTGTGCGCGCGCGCGTGTGTGTATTACAATTTTGGTCATAAAGTTTCATGAAAAATCTTGTTAGCAAAGTCAAACGGTTAAGCAAAATGCCCATGAAGAAAAATCCTCCAACCAAAAATTCCTATTCACCATTTGAAAAAAGATAATGGTAGTATTGTTTAACACCTCACGCAGATAAGCAAACAAAACAAATATCGAGGCCAATGTCAATGTCAACATTTTTCTGCAAAAACCTCACTCGTTAAAAAGTAGCTGGAACAACATCACATAGTACAACCCCCTCACCCAAAAATAGCAAAATCAAACATCATGCCAGAGTATTTATTCTGGCGCTGATAGTTTAAATCACCATGGTTCCCAAACTGTGGAGGACTTCCATTAATCGTTCTGACTACATGCGGGACTGGATATATGGTCTACGTTCCTGAAACCAGCGTGACCACGAGTAATATACATTTTGTACGATTTATTATTCATTTTCACCCTTTTTTCAAAAACTGACTAGAACTTTAGTACTTTTGGGTTTATAGTTGCCAAGGAAATTGATTTATTTAGACCTCTATAGACAAAAAGTTGCATGATCATGCTGAACTTAAACTAGAAAGATTATCCATTATTTAACCCAAGGTTCCTTTGAAATCTTAAAAATGAAAGAATCACGTATCGGCTCAGTTAAAGTTCTCATTTTTCAGAGTTGGCAAAAATATGTTGTTGAGATACTATAATCCATTCCCCCCCCCCTTGCTTTAGAAGCCGATGTTATTGTCAGGTTATCGTGACTGGAGCAGTGTAACGTACAAGAGTATAAATTTGTCAGTGAATAATCGCGTCTGAGAGGATTCCACAGTAGTCTCTAATTAGAAACCCAGGCTCCTGGACTTTAAAAACTTTTCCGTCATAAAACATGTGTAGCTGAGTTTATGCACTATGTGTTGTTTTAGTATTCTCGCATACCAGATATGTTTGAATGCATCTACATTTTTATATATTATCTCTTATTCATAACCACAACCGATATTTCTACAATGGGGTGTTAAGGAGGGAGTCGGCAAGTTTTTTTTTTTGAGATGCCATTAGTTGCGGGTGTGAAAGCATGTAGTGGTAGGGCACATGATGGTTGTTTGTGCGATGGGGTTCAACACTGTTCTGACTTACTCTGGGATGAAACCAGATGTGTTCGTGTTCGGCTTTTCGCTTAGTGAATAAGCTATGCAAATGGGAAACAGGGAAAAAGTGTCCGAATATGAAACGAGGAAAAGACCATGCAGTTGTTAAGTTATAGATGCGTATTTGTGTTAATAGATTAATGACAGGAAAAGTGTTTATAGTCTAAATGCGTTATGTAATCTTCCAGTTGACAACCACTGTTGTCTTGAAGTCGTTGGAAATAGAGGAAAACAAGTGGCTACCAACTAGAAATCACTCGTGTGGTATATATGGGTTTTGGTTCGTATCTAGGAGTGACCTCCAACGATGAAATTTGCCCGGTATCGAATAAGCAACTACAAGTAGGAATTTATGAATGGAATAAAGAAGTAATATGAGCTAATATATAGAACAAATAAGTCGAGCCCCCGTTACAAGTAAAGACAAAATTTAATAAAATTTCAAACAATAATTTCCACGAGAAAATTATATGAAAATTACACTTCGAAAGATACACTTTTTCTTTTCGTATTACTAATTAAGGAATTTCAAAAATACAATGACATTATAAAACTAGCCGATTCTGTTTAAAATAGAATACAAAATCATCATTTACGAGAACGAGTATATCGAATAACTATGCCTTGTATCATTGCATAACTTGTTGACTGATTGCGTCCCACAAGTCCTCTCAAACTGTACTTCAGTTCCGTTATTTCAGAACGTCTTCCGTTCCACTTTCTTTCTTTCCACCAACTCGAGTTGCTTTTCCAATTGTTTCAAACTGTTCTTTTCCTTCCCACACTGATTGGGTTGTAACGGCTTTTCCAGACTCTCTCACCTTATAAAATTATAAACAAACAGCCTAAATCTTCCGTCGCATTAAACGGAAATACATAATTAGTTAACCCATCAAGGTCAGAATTTAACTCTATCGACTTTCAAACAGTCTACACGCCTAGTTCCTAGACTAATGATCTGCGAATGGACATTTACGCCACATGTGACATTAGCCCTTTCACTCGGCCTCGTTACACGTAAATGAATGAAATTCTGTCTCTACTTCAAGGTTACCATTATACATAATAAGTTTATTCGGATAGTTCCAACTACTTCCGTAACATCGATCATCAGTTCATCCATTTTTTTATAAATACAATATCATCAGCTAAATGAACTCAACACAGTTATATCGGATACATAATTCCGTATATAAAATAGGTATGAATTCAACATACTCAATTCCTACAATAATCAAGAATATAACTTAGCAAATCGCCAACGCATATCGTTGCGCCGGCTAAGACAAACAATCTAGACACACACATATACCATATCAAGAAAATTAATCTACGACTCAACAAATAA